ATACTACTGCATGAATAAACCTCCCCACCAGCGTAACTATTTCCCAATCCTACGCACCCGAAAGACACCCAGGCGGCAAGCAGAAGAGACCCAGCCCACAATCCAAACACACGGGGCTAAAACTCCCCTACGATTGAGTCGATCCGAAGTACCGATGGACCCAAATCTCCCCTGAAAGACCACTCTAGACTACTTTAAGAGACGAGGATTCCCCACCACATAAACCCCAAGACCACCACCATCGAAAGGAAGGAAATCGGGGAGCACGAAGCCCCGTCCTCAAGCCAACAGTCGTGCCCACGACCCAGCCCAGGAGAAGGGAACCATCGGTTGTCGCAAAATGAGCGAACAACACTGCAAGAATGAACAACAGTGGGAAGCCCAAGACACCGACCTCAAGCCAACGACTGTAAGCAACCGTCGGCTCAGACCTCGCTCGCCACCAACGAGCCGGCAGCCACCCACCTACCACCACCATAACCTTCCATATGCCGGAAGAAAACTAGACGGCCTAGACAACCACTGTCTCGCCAAGCGTACGATCTACCGGAGTCGGTCAGATGCCGACCATCGTCGTGGGAACGACGCTCCTGCCCAGTGTGGCGGCCCACCTGAGTATGCGATTAGAGCACAGAGATATGGAGATTTTCTGGTGAACAGTGAAGAGAAATTTCAGGTCAACAGTAATGTAAATAATCATATTAGCAATTAGGTTATTGTCTTAAGTGACAATAATGTGCACATAAGAAAATTTTGGCAATTCGAGTGGCATTTTATTTTATGTTAATTGTAAACTCTTGAATCTATTTGATGTTAACTGTGTATATTAGTACTAGTCCTGTGATACATGGCACAAAAATGATAAATTGTATAAATTAAACCAATATGAATATTGGCAATATTCGATATAAAAGTAGTTATGAATATTTATATTATCTATTATTTTTTTGTTTTATTTGTATGATATATTATAGGTTATTATATAATTTATATGTTTGTTTCACCCGTAATAAAAAAAAATCTTATTTTAAAATTCCTAGGAATATGAAAATTTAACAAATTCAAATATTAACAATAGATAACGGTAACACATATTTTCTCTTTCTCTTTTCTTATTCAGACCTTGTTACAATATATTATTTCGATTTTCAAATAAGTGATGGTACCACTAATAAATTATGGTAAATATTAAAAATCGACACTTAATGTGAAAAGAGTATAATGTATACTATTTTAAAGTTATAAAATTTAATAATTTTTTATTTTTTTAAAAGTTACTTTATTTTACTATAATTCATAATAATGTATATAATATATATTGATTTCTTTTCCCAATCAACAGGTCGGTGATTTATCATTATAATTCATAACAATATATATTAAAAATGTTTTAGTTTTTTTAAGCTAACAGTTTATATCGATGTTTGACAAATAACTTATTGGTTTATCACTAGTACACATACTCGTGTGATGCCCGAGTCTTTAATATAAATAATTATTT